GATCGGGTTGTATGACAGCATAGATTGCGCCAACAATTGCATTGGCCAATAGGACATTCTGGAGGTAGGTTGAATTGGCAGGTTCCTGAATATCGGCTGACGCACACAGTGGATCCTCGGGACCTTCATGTCCTTGAGAAAACCAGCTGGGTGATAAATTTACAATCCCAGTGACCCCTTCATTCTCGGGGTGGTGATCCCGCCAAGTCCCATTACTTCTCTTTTTGGGGCTCAAAGAACCTGTGTGATCCCAAATAAATGTCTAGTAAAGTGAGGAAAGTCTAAGGGTGTAATGAAGTGAAAGTAATTACCCGAAGCTGTTCTGAGAACATTTCAGGAAAGTACCAAAGTAAAATGTGACCCTGCCAGTCGGTTATATGGCACGGTTGATCGAGGTAGGGGATATCGGACCCGGCTGTTTCGTAGATCGGTGGGAATCGTGCCAAGAGTTTCTTCTCCAACTCCTCATTGCTTCCACTCTGTCTCGGTGACAAGTCTGCAGCATAGTCCCGGACGTCCCAAGTAGTTGTATCTGTCCAAAACTTAGTGAAGATCGGCCGGCTAGAAGTGAGACATACATGAAGATTTGAATGCTTCTTCAAGCATGTTAATTACCCTTTCAACAGATGCTTGGGCCTCCGGCTCCAACCATGGTGGTGGAGCAGGACGAGGAACGCTTGGGCTATGTAAAGACCGCAACCGGCCTCTGAAGTATCGAGCTAGATCCCTTGTATATTGAAAGAAATCGGGGGCAGTCATGAACAAAAAAAAGGATTTTTGACACTTTTAACTGGCAAAACATGAGGCTCAGGCATGGATTTATTTATTACGTAGAACAGGGACGTCTGTCAACATGTCAGGGTCATAACTGCCATTAGGATAGGATCATGGTCTTTCCTATCTGGTTGCACCCGGCCTTTCAGATCAGTTCTGCTCATCCGGGCTTTCAAACAAGACTCGACATGAATTTTTTTTTTAAGTAAAAAGATACAGGTGGTAATGGTATGACGTATTAAGAGACCCGTGTTACGCCACATGCCCTTTCATAATAGGTGAAATGGGGGTTTGGATAGAGTAAAAAGGACGTACGGTAAGGTAACCCTCTCGCCGTCGTCATCGATGATGGTCAAGAGTATCGTCCCCTAATCACCATGTTAGTGGGAAAAAGGAAGTACAAAGGGGATTGCTCACGTCTGGCAACCTGCCGGTGGAGTCTACGGTTGCAAACATGAGGCCACCGCTACTCATATTATACCAGACTCGGGTTCCTTTCTGACGAATCATCAGCTGGTTACGACCAATGGAGATGTACAGAACCTACGGGGTAGGGGTTGGGTGGAGGGATACCCAACAGACTCCAGATTGTCATGGGGGTGAAGTTATTCATGTCGCAGATGAGGGGGGTGAAGATGGGTCCTTGAAATGTGAGAGGGTTTTTAAAGGGGGAAACACGGATGTTTTCAGGTTAA